AGGGGATTTGGAATATATTTAATTGCCTTTTGATTTCTAATTTACTTTATTATTATTTGCCGGTTGTTGTGAATCTGTTTTTAGGGTTAAATTTAACAGTTCTTTTTCAGACTAAATTTTCACATTACAGCCTTTAAGAATTTAAATGTTGTTATATCTAATGGCTATACACATTTCAAAAGGATACCGTAATATTCTAGCAATGACTAGGATACCATATATTTTAAATAAATCGCATTTTATATGTGATTTCGTCAATATTTTTATTATTTGAAGGGTCTTCTTTCAACTATTTTCCATATTGTGTTATTTAAATAATGTGTGGAGGAAATGGTGGGAATAACATAATAATATTACAGGTTCAATTTAGAAAACTTTAAATTATTGAAAGTTATACAGGACTAGTTCATTATCTATCTGATTTAATTGAAGACGGAATTTTGAGTTCTGTGTGATAGCAAGTAGGAAAATTTATTTCAATTCCAAATTAATTTCGTTACTCCAATATTTGGAATCAACTATTGAAAAATAACCAACAAATAATGACACTTCGTTTGCAGAAACTTCCGCTGTCGTGATTAATCCAATAACATTTTCATTCGTTACGAATTTGATTAAATTTACACAAAAAGTCCAATCTCATATAATCAATCCATTATTTACGTATTGCGAATTTGCTCAAAGTAATGACATTTTTCATGTTAGGTGTATTATACCTCTATAGAATTAATTAATTTGAGTTGGTTTGCAAACTCAATTATTTACAATGCAGATAAAATGTGTTTATATTATACCATAGCTGAGTTATTATTAAGATAAAATTAATGTGTTTGTTCAAATTAATTTCGAGAGATTATTTATAGATTTTTTTTTATAAACCATTTTCACTCTAAAATTTAATATTGTTTATGAATAAAACATAATAATCTTTATTCAGCATTTCACTGAATATGGTAAATGTCTTTGCTTAGAAAATGTGTGTATGTAGATAAGTAAAAATCACAAACAGTAAAAGATCACACTTATGTCACGTCGTTTAAGTTTTTTTTTTTTTTTGCACTTTTTAGTAACGAGGAAGACTATATCAAAGTTAAAAAGAAATCTCATTTTGTAGCTTTAGTTCTTGCGAAAATCATTATTTTTCTTTTCTAAATTAATGTGCTATAGAATAAATTATTTCTTCAAGGAGCTTGTAGTATTATTTTTACACTATACAGTGTGTTTCGAAACTCTCTCCTTAAACTCAATGGGCATAATCCTTAATTCAAAACAAACAAAAAATATTACATAAACATATGTCCTATCTGGCTTCGTTTTCCGTCAGTCAGTGTGCACGTATTTTTACGTAATTTCCCATAATTTTGAAACGACTTAAGGTGCGAACTTCAATCTTAGTACATGTATGATGACTGATCGGATTTTTTTTTCGCAAAGCATCAAGTTTTCTTCTTTCCATAATAAAAAAAATGGCGGCCATTTTAATTTTTCAAAGCGTATAACTCAAAACCATAAGATTTATAAAAAGGTTACAATGATTAAAAGGATGAAAATGTATTTTCCTTTACAGAAATGTACAATTTGTATAGGGTCATAATACAAATAACGGAGAAAATTTAATTTTTTAAAGGTAATACCAACTTATTTATTGAATTTGCCCACATTTTTGTTTTAACTTCAGAAAATTTAATTTTTCTCCCTTATACAAATTGTACATCTGTAAAGGAAATTGAATTCCCATCATTTTTGTTACATGCAACTTTTTTATAAGTTCTATGGTTTTTGAGTTATTAAGCTTATGTAAATAGTTCTTTATCATTGAGGAAGTTAATAAAAACCAGTTTCAATAGAGATAGTACTGTAATGTGCATAAATATAGATTCCATATCACTGTTTTTGTTTACTACTTTTGATATTCACATTCCAAAATGTAAAACTTGTGTAAAGTACCGTTAAATTTATGATCCAATAGTGTATATTAAATGTAAGGTAATACTATTTTTGCTTTTAACATGTTGTAAGGCTTTGTGATGTTTCTTCTTAGTATAACGAGCTAGTGGAATTATATAAATATAGTTCCGAATATAAAAAAGAAACGTTCAAAATGTAACTACAATGTATTTCTATTTAATTATAGTTTCTATGTTCTTAAACAAGAATTTGAGGCATTTTTGTTTGAGACGTGATCATTGAAAGTTTTAGACTTATTTTAAATAGTTTTTATTTTATTGCACTGCCTAAAAAAAAAAAAAAAAAAAAAAACACGAACACGTTAATTTTCCCTATCAAAATAACTACATCATCAGTGAAAAAACTTAAGAAGCAAGCGTATTATTATCTATGTTATGAAAGAAATTTTTTAAGACAATGTAATGGATTATGGCTTTGTATAAATTTTTTTCGTTGTTTTAAACCGGTTTTATATATAAGTAAAATCCATATAAATTATTTTACCTTCGATATTAATGAATATTATTTTTATTTATACGTATCTTTTCAGTTAGGTACATATTCTGAGACCTCTTACCTGAGACCTCACTGACCTGTACTACTATTTTTAAATTTTATCAGAAGCCAAGTAGAGTTTGAGGAAAACAAAAGTTTCTTTTGAAACTCGGTCCACGTTTAATATATTACTAAACTTTTAGAAGACTGTCTCAAGAGAATTCGGCTGTCTTTTGCCTTCTCCATTCAAAATATTTGGATTTTACTAGTCGAATTTGTCTTTAACATCACTATCTATTAAGGGGGTTTCCAGTTTATGAAAGCTGTATTAATAAATCTTTACAAATTACTAATAATTTCATGCATTAAAATTAGAGGGAATACTTTAAATAAATTGAACCATGAAAAATATGCTTCTAATAACGGGATCAAAATGTGTTCGTGATTTCTTTATGAGGCATATGAGGTTTGTCGAACACAGACTGTAAATTATGACTATTGTAAGCCTTAAGTGGGTCAACAATATTTAATTAAAGACTAACATACGTCATATGTTAAGATTTTCTTTCTAAATTTGCAATAGTTCGACATTATTTGGTGACTCCTTGCGAATAGGCTTTTCTTTTAATTCTATTCAGACACTCATTATATTTTGACATTCTTCGTTTGTTTTGTGTTTTAATTTATATAATACTAGAAAAACTGGCAACCAAGGTTTTTTTTCATAAACAGAGTTGTCAACTCAAAAACAACCCAAAAAGAAGGATATAATGGAAGCGTTATACTTGGTTCATTTTAATGAGTATAAAAAATTACTTTTGACCTAAATATACCTTTGTCATAATGGATATAATGGACACTAAAACCAGGCTCCGTAATAATCAATGAGATGATGATAATGCTCATTATTGAGATTATGAACGATAATGAGATTCTGTAAATTGCAGCAGCGCTGAGGTAGATTACAGGTAAATCCCAACCAATATTCACCAACAATGTTTGTCACGAGCTGTCAGCCACAGATATATAGGATTTATAGTCAAGCCACGCTGTGATGGAAACAGGTGTACAAAATGTATATCATTGTTTTGAAGAACATGAAACAGCACCTTATGACAAATGTATTGATATTATATAGGCTATCAACAGAGTTTAATTTATAATTATATAATTTAATCTGTTGTTAGACGACCACGGAATTTGTATATTATTAACTTAAAAAACTCAAGTTTTTTATAGGGATGTGATGTTGATCTATATAAAAATAGTGCAGATTCCACTTGATGCAAATAAACAAACTTATTATAAATAATATGCAATCACATAAATATTTGAGGGTAAAATAGGTACTTTCATACAGTGTTTTGCAATCATAATCTTAGAACAAGTTTTAAAAAATATTTCAACATTTAACATTACTGTAAGCCTACGTGATTTAAAAGGACAAAATACAGAGTTTTTAGTTTGACTAAATCATCCTATAAATTTGCTGGAAAATCGTTACAAGCCCAAATTAACTTACAAATGTTATAATTAAATTCGCCACACCATACTGTTTTGATAGACTTACAACGCATGAAATTAGTTCGAAAAACAGATGTTTCTCACCTGCTTGATAAAATTGCGTCTCATTAAGATGTACTGTACTGAAATGTATTTTTACCGGACACCAGCTTTATATAATTTTCAATAAACTAATGAATCAATAAAAAAAACCTAACCTCACTTATAGTTTATGATTAGTGAGTGATTGTTCAGTGGGAACATATAACCGATTTGTTAAGTTTTTTTATATCTTTTATTGTTAGGTTAGTTTAGAGTAGTATGGCAAAAAATTTGGCTACACGTCAAAACTGTGTTTACCGCACTAGTAACAAAATGCACTATTCTTGAATCATATTAAATTATAGCATGATAGTGACAAGAGGTTTTAATGGCATTTTCAGTAATCTTTTAACAAGTAATTTTCAGAATGCGAAACATGATTGAGTGAAATAATGTTTTTTCCTATAATTTGTTAGATCTATAGCCTATACAATCCACATAGAGATTTAAACTAACCAAATTATACAACTGATAGTGAAATTGTGCGTTGTTACAAATTCTATTCTAACCAACTTGCAAGTGTGCTATCATGTTATACTATACACTAACAAATACCGTTCCATTGTTATATGAAAACAAACGCGAAATAATCTTTTTTATTAATTAATCACACTCATTAAATTCACGATTAGAGAAAACCAAAATAACGACTTACATACTTCACAATACGATCAACTATTGTTACGCAAAATATTTTGCAAAATCGAACATCAAAATACAATAACGGTATTTGAATGAAGTCTAAAATGTTATTTAAAACCACGTAATTTAAAATTTAAATGTAACGTAACATTATTATGATTACAATAATTAGTATATCATTCTGATATAAGCAACAAACATTGCCAATTGTGTTGAGTCACAGAGTCAATCAGATTTTGAACTAATATCAACTAGAATTAACACAATTCATTAAGCGTTACCAACACCAATCATTATCACCAAAGTGTTACCTGATAACTCCTACGCCGTTGTATCACAAAGTGTCCACCACCATCACACAAGTTACAACAACTCAGCAGTAGAACCACCGACTGACTGAATATCCCTAGCGAGACTGTCCGGACCAACCCACTACCACCCTGCCGCCCACGAGTACCAACCTCCCAACGACAAAATCCCTTCCCCATTCAATTATGTTCGGCCACCCTACATTTATACGGAATTAGTTTTTGTGCATTAGCAACAGCGTCATTATCGCAGTTCTATTACCCGATGCTTGTTGGGCAGGGTGCTAAACATCCCCATCCCTTGCCAAACCAACCCCGACTTTCCGCCTCTTGAATAACACGATTGCAGCGCTATGCTGAGCCACTTTGTGTTTTTCATGAAAACGCTGTTTTATCGCTCTCTCCGGTCTTGATTGTTTTTTGGGATTACAGTTTTTGGTGAGAATTAATGCTTAACTGATTTGTTAGGGTAAAATTTGTTTAATAAGTTATTTGTAAATACAAAGGAAACATTAACATCGATTGTTTATTATGCAGTATTTTGAATTTGGCTATTTTAGGGGTTGAAAAAATAAGTGGTAAAAAATAATCTCTAGATAAAGAATTATTTGGCGAAAATTAAATCTAACACCCTTTTAAATAACTTTTAATCGTAATATGTTTATATGTTTAGACAAATTTAATATATCTGCATCAAATAGTCACATGACTATAATTCCTCAGTAGCTTAAATGTTTCGTTACGAAACGAACATTCTCAAAGCTTGCAACTCGTCAAGGACACAATTTAAACAAACACGACACAAACCTAAATAAGATAAACAAAATATGTGAGCTACCGAGCAATTTTAATCATTGGACTATCTGACGGAAGTGTAAAAAAACCTACAATTGTAAATTTGTCCAGGGTATGTTTTCTTCTATTTCACTCGTGTTGTATCGAGTATGCAAATATTGTTTTCAAAAAAGGGCTAGATAGTTTTAAATCTAGTTTAACTTTACATTATTTTTTCATTGTGTATTTGTACGACCAGATTAACTTTACGCTAATGAGTAGTAACAAGTAAAGCAAATAAACTTGTGGTCAGAAGATAAAATGTAACTCATTTTTTTAGTTATATCAGTTCGTGAACCCCACGGCATCCCTTTTCTATTTAAAACGTCTATAGCTATACACAGTCGGCAACATAATAGTAAATGAATTTATAGAATCATTCGTGGTTAAACATATTGTTCTTCGGTTGAATACAGTTAAGGACATGCTGAATTTGCTCACAGACGGTTTAATATTTCTTAATTGAATATACCATTTGACACTACTCAAATAGTATAAAAACAAAAAAAATAAAAATAAACATGTACTAAATGAGCACTACAAGAACAATGTAGTAATTGCAACTTGTAAATTAAACATAATACAACTTCGTGGACAAAAATTCTCTTACAAAAAATATTATTTTTTTGTAAAAAAGTATTACAAAAGTATGAACAGTATTTATACAAAACACCGTAGAGGAAGGTGTAGCTATAAATATCAATACTTTCACAGCAAAGAAAACATGGTTGGTTGGCAAGAAAGGAAAGAAATACTGTTTATTTTGGTGTTTCAGGTGAAATATTAATGATGTGAAGAGACACCTGGTAAAACGGAGTCAACAAAAATAAATGTCAAAGGCTTGGCAGGGGAGGAAACGACAAGGCGTTTGTTTCAAGTCGAGTTGACAAGTTGACAAGTACATCTAGACAACTCACTTCAAGTATCGAACACATGGATTGACAACGTGTACAGCTAAAAGTTCTGTAACTTTAATTATATATCATTATAATGTGTTTATACGAATAGCTTAAATACTAAACCAAATGCATTGCATGGCAAGCTAATATATTGTCTTGATTTATATTTATTGTTGGATGAAGTAACTTAATGCAAAGTTACTTAAGCAATGGTATAATGTTATTGCATTTTTAAGCATGATAACGTGTAAAAAACAAAACATATTTAAATTTATGTGCAAATTTAGATTAGAAAGTTTTAATCGAAATTTGCTCAAAAAAGCTTATAAAAATTACAAAAAGTTATTACTACAGCCATAAATTAAAAGTATTGATTATTTGTTCATTTCTTTTGAATTGCTTGAGTATTGTATTCCCCTGCTTTATAAAATGTGTATTGAACAAAAATTAACATTTCATGTAAATTAAATCAAAAGCACTCCTCTTGTAGCAAGAAGAAGAACATAAAAGCATTCATAAAATCAATATTTTAATATTTTCAATGCTGTATTATCCAAATCATTACATTTATTCATATAAAATGACTATGTAACGCTAAGCCTACAAAGATATAGTTGAAACAGCAAGTATACAAATCATAGAGGTTTTAAAGAACAACATTAACATATTTTAGCGATAGAACAAAAATGAAACCAGACCACCCGCAATATATTCTGCAAGTTCCATTTTCCCCAGATATGACAAATCTAGATTTTAATTTGAGATAGCTGCAGTCATTCGTGATATTGCTTACATCGTCTGTTTATAATTCGTATTTGTTTGGTGAAACTGCCAATCATCTTAATTATTTACATATATTTCATTTTGAATTGTTTTTAATTTAATATCGGAAAGTTTTCTTTAATTAAGTCATATTTAATTGCCATATTAAAAAACATAAAAAAATATTTAGTAGTTCACTGATAAAGGTTGTTAAACATATGTTTATCTGATGAAAACATGGTAATTTAAATTTATATGTGTTTTTAATTTACTATATTCCCTCTATATCTACAATGTTGTATTTTTCTCTGTTGTTCTGTCTTCATTTTACATATAGCTACGCATAACTTTGACAGGACTATAGAGTGTTGGTTGTGATAAATAAGGACAAATCTATATGAAATGCTACTTCATAGGTCTATATTTTGTTTCTATTTTTACATTTGATATGCTTTTCATAAAAAAGGAGAGTGGTAAAATCATAATCTCAATAGCGTAACCTTAGAATTATCGTGCTAGTATATTTAAAACAATAGAAGCCATTTGTAAAATAAAAGATTGAAAACACCATTTTAGCTCTCTTTTGGTAAGTGACAAATTCCAAGAAAACATGTTTCATTTTATTTAAGGTCATGGAAATAAAAGTCAAATATTTGTCTTTTAACAGGGATATACTTTCTAATAGGAAATTATTAACAATTTTAGAGACGACTTTTTTTTACATTGCATTGGGGGTCATATAACTTCAAATGAAAAACATTGCATAAGGTGCGGCAAAAAAACTATTTATTTTCTGCAGCGCGCTGTTCAGCGACAGGACGTTGCGTGTGGTGGGAGTAGGCTCTTTGGAAAGCCTAAACAATGCGATGTTTTGTAGTAATAAAGCAGAGGTCCCCTGAGCTACGTGCAGTTGCTATCGAGTCGTTTAAAAAAGTAATGATTTAGTTATTACAACTCAGCGGAAATTCTGTGCATTCATTTAATTAAGTCGACCTCCTTGTCGTCTTGGAGATGTTCCGTCGTGATTGTCTGTATGAAAGATTAACACAATTAAACTGATTATTATTCTAACTAATCTGCAGGGATGAAATTTCAACCGAAAATTCGTGTAACTGAGTGGTCAGACATATTCAAGGCAGCCGCTTATTTTCGGGTTGGCCTACGAGGACTGTCTTCCACAGGAGCACGGACTCTTTTAGAATAATGTTAGCTTTCTGGCGTCCGATTTGACTTTGGATGGCATGTCTGCTTCCTTTTGAACCCAGAAGCCGTTATTCTAAAGTTAGTAACCCATCACATGATTGTGCTACTCAAAGGAACTGCTCCATGTCGCCTTAATTGAAAGAATGCACGGAACTGCCGCTGAGGTGCAATGAAAGAATTCACTACTTTTTAAAAACGACTCAATAACAAACGCAGGTAGCTTAGGTGATCACCGCTCTATGACTACATATAATGGTATTGTGTAGGCTTTCCAACGAGTCTGACCCCCAACGCCCTCAGACAACCTGTTGCTGAACAGTGCACTGCAGAAAAAAATATATATATTTTGCCGCACCCTGTATATTGTTCAGTATGGTTCTATATCCTAACAAATTGCATTTATTGTAGCTAAATTGAGTGTCCAAAATTGTTTGGTTGTATAATTTTCGTGGCATTTTAGTGCGTTAGGTACTATTATACTAGATAGAATAAAATTAAAATCCATACCAAGTGAGGTGTAATTTTTCCATTCCAACATATAAACGAAACATAAAAGCGGTTTATCATTGCGTTATTAAACTGTTTTAACATCTCAATATTGATATTACTGCTCTTTTTTATTACATGTTAGACTTGTATACTTAAAAACAGATAAATTTAAATAAATTTATCCATATATTTCATATAATCTTCAAACATAAAGTAATTTAAAAGCGGCTTGATACTTTACACACTGAATTCTAGTATAACTTTTTTTAGACAAGGATAATCAGGCAGATTACAGTTTATGTTTTTGTAGGTTAGCTTAAAAATAATAAATATATCCTAATTCCCTTATATGGAAAAGCCATATATGCTTATATGGAAATATCTTACTTATTTGATATTTCAAGGCTTTGACCTTTAAAGCTCCAAAAAAATCTAACACGGATAATATTTTTTATGTTATCTTTAAAGCAGACAAAATACAAAAAGGTGATGAAAAGTCCCGGGATGGCCTAAATTTTTGTTTCTAATGATTTTCTTCCGACTTCTTGTGGGCCTTCCCCCTGAAGTGGCAGAGTGTTTTATGCCTAATAACAGTGTACCAACTTATATAGCTTCATCTAACGGTTAAAAAACATATGAAGCCGTCCGGGGAATGTTCACCACTCCTATATTGATTGACTAAAATTTACTTAAATATTTAAAACCAATGCATTAACTAAAATATGTAGTATTAGCTTTAATTAACAATATCACACGATCACTTACAATGTAAAATTCTGAATGGAAAATTAATGTTAAACTGAAGTGAATAAATTTGGTTTACTATTGAAATTTTGTAAGACATATGTTATATGCTATACAAATAGAACAAATCTTAACCAACTCCGGTTGTATAAACTAACTTC